GTCAACAGCACAGATAACACTTTTTTGAGGTAGTTTTTTCTCGCATTGGTGAGTATTTCCATTTTATGCAACTTTACACCTTTACTATGTTAGTTACCAACTCGCTCCACTAGGCCTGAAATATATTCTGTACGTTTTAATCCCCTGGATCATGCTACAAACACGATGATCTTATAAAACACAATGCATTGCTGTGTCCGTTATCCTATAACTTTAATTGCCACTTTGGACAGTGGCTGTGTTTTTTTTTTGTTTAAATAGTCTTTAACGGTCATTAATATAAGATAACACTGCAAAAAAAAAAAAACAGTTTACTGTAAAGCTATTCTATTGCTGTTATATATATTGTCCACCATATACATTTATCTGCTGAATTCATTTATTTCATTGATAACTTATTTTGTATGTAACATTATGTGTACCTCCTGAAAACGGTCTAACGTTATTATAACTTTATTGACCTGTCACACTTAATGTGGAGAGTAATATAATGAATTAAATCCTTGAACTTCCCTGTCTCAAGTTATGTGGGGGGGGAAAAGCCTGGTTAAGTAGCCACTTTTTTAAACTGCTATAACATTAACTGTTGTGAGTTAAAATAATCACTTATTTCAACCTAAAAATGACCTCTGCACTGGACTATGTATAATATATGACTGCCGAGTCGCTTTCACCCCAAAATGGCGGAAGCGTAGGGCTGCTGGGCGCTGGTGTTGCAAAGGCTGTGTTTATTTGATCAAAAATACAGTAATAACAGTCAAATGTAATTTAAATGACAATTTTGTAATTTATTCCTGTGATTAAAGCTGAATGTTCAGCATCATTGCTCCAGTCTTAGAGTCACATGATCCTCTAGAAATCACTCTAATATGAGGATCTGATGATCAAGAAACATTTATGATTATTATCAATGTTGGAAACCGTTGTACTGCTTCATATTTTAGAAGAAACTATGATACATTGTTTTCAGGATTCTTTGATGAATTGAAAGTTCAAAAGAACAGCATTTATTTGGGTACTGACCTGTTATCTGGACCCCACGATGGCCTACCCCTAACCCCGCCCCTAAACCTACCCGTCACTGGGGTTAAGACCAATCAGGGATGACTATAGTTCCGAAATGGTATATGGTGGGGATAACAGGAAAGTACCTTTATTTGAAATAGAAATATTTTGTAACATTATAAATGTCTTTACTGCCACTTTTGATCAATTAAACGTAAAAGTGTTACTTTCATTCAAAAAATATCTTAATGAGCCCAAACTTCTGAACAGTACTGTAGTCTTTATCTCACGTGAGTCTCGGTCACGTCTGGTCAGATCAGTCACAGAAAGAGAGCAGAGCTCACGCTAATCTATTAAAATAAACCAGACGGACACAAAGTTCAACACTCTCAGACTCTCCTGATTAACTCTTACAAATAACAGAACTAGATCTATCTATCTATCTATCTATCTATCTATCCATCCATCCATCCATCCATCCATCCATCCATCCATCCACCCAATCCATCCATCCATCTATCTATCTATTCATCCATCATCTATCTATCCATCCATTCATCCATCCATCTATCCATCTATCTATTCATCCATCATCTATCTATCGATCTATCTATCCATCCATCCACCCAATCCATCTATCTATCCATCTATTCATCTATATATCTATCCATCCATCCATCCATCCATCCATCTATCTGTCTATCCATCCACCCATCCATCTATCCATCTATATATCCATCCATCCATCCATCCATCTCTCTATCTATCTATTCATCCATCATCTATCTATCTATCTATCTATCTATCTATCTATCTATCTATCTATCTATCTATCCATCCATCCATCCATCCATCCATCCATCCATCCATCCATCCATCCATCCACCCAATCCATCCATCCATCTATCTATCTATTCATCCATCATCTATCTATCCATCCATTCATCCATCCATCTATCCATCTATCTATTCATCCATCATCTATCTATCGATCTATCTATCCATCCATCCACCCAATCCATCTATCTATCCATCCATTCATCCATCTATTCATCTATATATCTATCCATCCATCCATCCATCCATCCATCTATCTGTCTATCCATCCACCCATCCATCTATCCATCTATATATCCATCCATCCATCCATCCATCTCTCTATCTATCTATTCATCCATCATCTATCTATCTATCTATCTATCTATCTATCTATCTCTCCATCCATCCATCATCTATCTATCTGTCTATCTATCCATTCATCCATCCATCCATCCATTCATCCATCATCTATCTATCCATCCATTCATCCATCCATCTATCTATCTATCTATCTATCTATCTATCTATCTATCTATCTATTCATCCATCATCTATCTATCCATCCATTCATCCATCCATCTATCCATCTATCTATTCATCCATCATCTATCTATCGATCTATCTATCCATCCATCCACCCAATCCATCTATCTATCCATCCATTCATCCATCTATTCATCTATATATCTATCCATCCATCCATCCATCCATCTATCTGTCTATCCATCCACCCATCCATCTATCCATCTATATATCCATCCATCCATCCATCCATCTCTCTATCTATCTATTCATCCATCATCTATCTATCTATCTATCTATCTATCTATCTATCTATCTATCTATCTATCTATCTATCTATCTATCTATCTATCTATCTATCTATCTATCTCTCCATCCATCCATCATCTATCTATCTGTCTATCTATCCATTCATCCATCCATCCATCCATTCATCCATCATCTATCTATCCATCCATTCATCCATCCATCTATCTATCTATCTATCTATCTATCTATCTATCTATCTATCTATCCATCCATCATCTATATCTATCTATCTATCTATCTATCTATCTATCTATCTATCTATCTATCTATCTATTCATCCATCATCTATCTATCTATCTATTCATCCATCATCCATCTATCTATCTATCTATCTATCTATCTATCTATCTATCTATCTATCTATCTATCTATCTATCTATCTATCTATCTATCCATCCATCCATTCATCCATCTATCTATCTATTCATCCATCATCCATCTATCTATCTATCTATCTATCTATCTATCTATCTATCTATCTATCTATCTATCTATCCATCCATTCATCCATCTATCCATCTATATATCTATCCATCCATCCATCCATCCATCCATCTATATATCCATCCATCCATCCATCCATCCATCTATCTATCTATCTATTCATCCATTTTTCACCCATTATAAACACATTTCTTATTATTCCATCCCCCAAATCCCATCTTCCCCATCACAAACCAGCTTAACTTCCTATTTCAGTCCTTCATTAAACCACAGCACATTGAAATCTCTCTATCCGTCCTCACTTGTGGCTCTGAGCGATCGACGAGAGACCGAACTCCACAGCATCTGAAACACTTTTGTTCTGCAAACAATCTTCCATTAGTCAATTAAACCATTAGCCTCTCATTTGCTCTGAGAGCAGTAAAGAATATGTTAACAATAACAAGACAAAAGGCACTCAGATCACCACCAAAGGCTCATTAACCAGAGTTAGATGTTCCATAAGCAGGATATCTTCAACAAATTGCTAATAAGTAGATTCTCTCTTGGCCACCAAATCGAGCGCAGCAATATTAGCAACAATATGAATCTTCATAGAAAGCTCTTCAGCAAAGGTGATTTCTCTGATGCATGCATTAGTGTCCAATTGTGTTGTGTTTCAGATATAGTGTCCAAGAACCCACTAACCTTTTAATAATCATATTCCTGAATTTGCATAGGCCTATATTAGGCTCCTGCACAGTTGAACTGCATTGCAAGGAACTTACCAGAAGCTCTCCGGACAAATCTGTTGATAACCGGAGCTGAAAGGAAAGATAGATAAAAGATTGATAAATAAAATGAGTTGTGGTGCAGTACAATATTAATATTGAATATTAAATATTAAATTCAAGATGCCACAGTAACGGCCTATAGATGGACCCGTCCACACCCCGGAAGCATCAGCTTGACCAAAGTCTAAATGTTTGTGCCTCATAACTGACCAATATGACACACATCATCATTTGCATGCATTCAAAAAAATAAAAAATAAATAAATAGGTCTGTGTGCACTGTACACATCATGCACACAGGGCCTATGAATAATAACCTGAAAAGCATGGAAATGAGCACATTCATATGATAAAACCAAGCCAATTAAGCCCGGTCTTTGTTCCAATCCCCTCTGCAGTGAGCTGACCTCTTCATTTTTAAAGGAAAATGCACTTCATCATCATCATCATCATCATCATCAAGGAGATGTGTGATCAATGATCATGCATTAGCACTTAACAAAAGATCACTGATTCAGCCAATGTTGTGATGCATTAAACATGCAAAGGAAGGACGCCTGTAGCCTATAAATGAGATGGTCCCAGTGTTCAGAATGTATTACCTACGAATTCTTCATCATCATCATCGTCCTCCTCCTCCTCCTCTCCGTTTTCAGAGTCGATCTGCATGGCCTCCTCGATGAAGTTGACGGCTTTGCCCGCTCGCGAGGCTGAATTGTGTTCATTGCCGAACGCGCCGCCGCGGGTCTCGTTCTCCTTGAGACGCGTGAAGTATTGCAGCGCGAACTCCAGCAGATCCCCCGGCTGGTTCCTCAGGACCTCCACGGTAAAGCTCTGCAGAAGCTCCGTCAAGCCCTCGGGGATTTCTATACTCATTTCCTGACGGTGAAATGTGCGCAAAATTCGGCCCGGTCTTGCGCGTATACGTACAACAACAGTCGGTCCCGTTTCGCCGCGTCAGCTGAGAAGAATGACCCGCAAAACGCGTCAGAGGGAACGCGACGGATTTCTCGCTATTCCACCATCTGCGTGTGTTTCCCACCGTGTCCGACCGTGTCCTCTAATTTGCGGGCGTAAAAATGGCTGGGATTTCAAGAGCTGGCATTTTTTTCTCTCTCTCTCTCTCCTGCTGATGGCTACAGGAAAGCCGCGCATGTGATGCGGGAAACCATGGCAACCAGCATCCCGGGATTTGCGCAGGAGGAACGCGGACGCGACGCGACGACCTAGAACGCAACGCGAGCTCTTAAAGGGATAGTTCGCTCCAATCCTGAATGAGTTTCTTCTGTTGGACACAAAAGAAGATATTTTTGAGTAATGTTGGTAATCAAACAATTGAATGTATTATAGTATTTGATTTTCATTGGCTGACGTCACTTAACATTATTTAATCTTCTTTTGTGTTCAACAGAAAAAAGAAATTCATACAGGTTTGGAACAACATTAGGGTGAGTAAAGGATGACAGATTTATTAATTAATTAATTTTTTTTTTTTTTGGGGGGGGGGGGGGGACTATCCCTTTAAATTAGATTGTAGATATGCTTTTAAGTTTTCATGTAAAAGTAGCTTTATGGTATATACCATAAAAGTATATGGTAAAGTATATATGGTATTATAATGATTTTTTTTTTTTTTTTTGGACAGTACCATGGTATTACCATAGGATCCTTTGAAATCGCTACCTTGGAGTCTATGCAAATAGTACAGGCCTATATGGAAACCATTAAAGGAGTAGTTTAAAAAAACTTTTGCTGATAATTTACTCACCTCCATGTCATCCAAGATGTCCATGTCTTTCTTTCTTCAGTTGAAAAGAAATGAAGGTTTTTGATGAAAACATTCCAGGATTTTCTCCATATAATGGACTTCAATGGGGTCCAAACGGTTCAAGGTCCAAATGAGAGTTTCAGTGCAGCTTCAAAGGGCTTTAAACGACACCAGACGATGAATAAGGGTCTTATCTAGCGAAACGATCGACCATTTAAAAAATAAATAAAAAAAGTTTAAGTTTTATAAGCTCAAATGCTCGCCTTGCTCTGTTCTGTGACGAGTGTTTGTGACTCTCTTGTTCGAACTCGTTCATCAAAATGTTTTAAAAAAATCTTTTTCTGAGTCATTTGGTTCATTCAACGTACAAAATGAACAAATCTTTTTTCGAGTCATGACTCGAAGGGTCCTAGATAGGCAAGGCAAGGCAAGGCAAGTTTATTTATATAGCACATTTCATACACAGTGGCAATTCAAAGTGCTTTACATGGAAGAAATTAATATAATCAAAAGAAATCAGAATAATTAAAACAGTTTAGAGTAAAAAAAAATCATAATAATAAAAATAAAATACAGTATCAAAAATAAAATGAAGTACATTAACAGTCGGACGAACAGTGGCACAGTGCTCATTCAGTAAATGCAATCAATATAAATAAAAACAGTTAAGTAGATTGAGCTGGTTTACGGTGCTACTGGGCCTCCAGCCCAGGGACTTCTTATACTTCTTAGACATCTTAAGACCCTTATTCATCGTCTGGTGTCGTTTAAAGCCCTTTTGAAGCTGCACTGAAACTGTCTTTTGGACCTTGAACCGTTTGGTTCCCATTGAAGTCCATTATATGGAGAAAATCCTGGAATGTTTTCATCAAAAACCTTAATTTCTTTTCGACTGAAGAAAGAAAGACACGGACATCTTGGATGACACGGGGGTGAGTAAATTATCAGCAAAAGTTTTTTTTAAAAATTGAACTACTCCTTTAAAGACCATGGGCGACTATAGTTGTCACATTTTCTCATTAAAATAGCCTATTTATCATGATTTTTAAAGTTTTGACAAAAAAAATTAAAACATTTAAAATTTCCATTGAACAATTTGACTTGACTACATACGTAATAATTAGGAAATTGCCAAAGGGAAACGGTAATAAAATATCAAAGCGTCATTTTGGCCATAAATTGCCCCGGTGTCCTCTAATAGCCTATAATATCAAAGTACCATCACTGTATTTTTTTTTTATTTTAATCTTAAACCATTTTCTGCATTGTCTTGAATCTGTATATATTGCACCTTTTTAGAGTGACGCTTTCAAATATAATTAAGTTAATGGATAAACAAACACCTCAGACAGAATTAGACTAAGTGGGTTGCTGGTTAATCCTATTTTGACGAAAAATATGAGCTGATTATGTTGAGATTATTATCAGAGTTTGACCTTCTGGGAACAATTACATTGTTGTTATATAAAGGTACAAGGTCTCTCTCTCTCTCTCTCTCTCTCTCTCTCTCTAAATCTATGTTGTGTTCCACATCCGTCATAATGTATCCAGCATTAGAGAGAACAGAGAAGAGGATATTAAAATAACTCGGAATGGAATAAACTGGATACTTTAATATCAACGATAAGGGCATAAAAAATGTCCTCTACATCAAACGTGTTCCTCTTTATACTGAATGTGAGGAGAAAATGTTAAGATAGATTGTTTCTGTAAGTTGTTCTGGCTGGTTGCTTACAATAAGCTAGAGCAAAAATGTGAAATATTATCAACGTTTGTTAACTCGCACATCTCTGATGTTGCTGCATTTAAGTGCATTACCAAAGTGCGCAGCTCAGATTTCCTTTCCGAGACAATGTTTTTATATGATTTAATAGCGATCTAATTTTTCTCTTATTGAAGAATCAAATGTCTCCTGAATGTCTTGGGAGTCAATAGTTGATATACAAGAAGAGTATGTATGGAATGCCAAAGCTGACTTCATTAAAAATAAATAAATATACGAAGAAATGTAAAAAAGCAAAAAAACATAAATAAATACATAAATAAATATACAAAGAAATGTAAAACAGTACAAATAAATGAGTATTTATACTTTTATTTCCTTATTTATGTATAATTGTATTTTATTATACATAAATAATAATAGGAGGGGTGGGGTTATAATTATTTTAATATTATTATTATAAAATGATTTTTTTAAGATGTTAAGTATAACTGCTACCATGATGTATACATAATGTTAGATATGTACAACATGTACACACACACAAAAAAATCTTATAACTAAAAATGACAAAAATACACAGCAAAATTTACTAAAACTTTAACTAAAATTCCAGTGAAAAACAGAAAATATAAAAATAATATCTAATTCAAAATATTAACAAAAATAGTAAAAAAAAAAAAATATTATATCACAAACATCATATAAAAGTCAAAGGTCTACGAAACGCTATTGGCTATTTAAAAAGCACCTTTTCTTCTTCTTTTTTTTTTCCTTTTTTTTTTTTTTTTTTTTACACATAATCATGTATTAACTGTTGTTATTCTGAAGACAACGATAAATAAACAATGAAAAGTGCAAAGCAGCCAAAGTATGTTTCCTAGGAAACAAGGCTTCCGTTACCAGCGTGCATGGTTACAGCAGCTCAACCAATCGTATTTCACGGTTAGTATGACTGACATGTCAAAGGGGCGGGTCAATGTGAAGGAGGCGGGTCTAGATAGAGGAAGACGCTCGAGCGCACATCAACCAAAACAAAGGCGATTCAACGAAATATTTCGCGATTAAACTGATCAGATGGTGAGTTAGTTAAAGTGGTTATACACTTATTTATCTAATTTAAGAGCAGTTTAAACGTATTGTCGAAACGAGCAGCTGTGATTTAACCAGAGTTAACAGAAAGTTAGCTTTAATCAGTTTAGTGCCCTCTTCTTGCAAAACGTCTTCAGTCCGAAACAAAAACTACATGATATTGCTCCGTTGTTTTTGAACATGGTATTGAGGTAATATTATGTTTTTTAAAAATACGGGTTTTCAATCTTTTAGCGATTCAAATAGCCTGGCTATAACTATATATGAGTATCCTGCCAAATTTTAATGTGTTTTCATGCATGAAGACCCAATTTATATGAATTTAAATTGTATACTATACCAGTTTGAAGTATTATTTGGACAATATTTACTATTTGCTTAGTTACATTGTTTCTTTTCCCTGTACTCACGATAGTACTGTACTGTAAAATGTATTCTTTAGTTATTTAAATAAATAGTTGTATTTATTTATTGTAATACAATTGTTTAATTATTCTTTGTCATTTTTTTCAGAATAAGTTTGAAAACCCTTGCATTAGACTACAATAGTAGTAAATAAATCGCAATATACTGTGGTGTTACCATCATTCAACACGTATTTCTCTGTATCCTCAGGTTTGCTGATGATGTCAGCCTTCCCATCGTCCTCCTCCAAGAGTCTGACCTCCACCCCGCTGAAGTCCAGCGTCCCGCAGCGCAGCCGAAGTGTGGAGTCCACCGGAGACTCGACGTCCTCTCTGCTGTCACCCATCTATCACGACAGCTTTGAGCTTTCAGACGAGGAACCAGAGCCAGATCCGCCTCAGCGCGTTCACAACATCACCGTCACGCTAGATGAAGATGCGTCTCCCTCCAGGTGAGCGCTTGCTGAGTTACACATCAAGGGAAAGAAATCCAAACCAGCACGGCAGTGGTCATCATGTATAATCCTCCATCATGTATCATGTAACATGCTTTCAGGGATGAGGTGGACACAACAGGCCTGGACGACAGATCTCCCAGTGGGAACTTCAGACTGAGTGCCTGGGAGCAGTGGATCGTGGAGAAAGCCAAAGAGGAGCGTGTCAGAAAACAGCAGAAAGCTATGGAGGTACATGACAAAAACATTCTTTGTACTTATGGGGATATTTTATGGGTTTTTTTGTAACATGAACATTTTTATTTAATATACACTTTGTGTTTTGGAAGAAATGAATGCAAAAGTGAGAGAAAAGACATTTAAAATGTTACAAAAAATGTCAAAATCTCAAATAAACACTGTTCTTCTGCACTTTATATTTATCAAAGAATCCTAAAAAACAAAAACTGTAACATCGATAATAAACAGAAATGTTGATAAAATCATCATAATAGAGTGATTTCTGAAGGATCATGTGACACTAAAGACTGGAGTATTGATGCTGAAAATTCATGATCATAGAAAGGAATAAATGACATTTGACAATGCATTCACGTCGAAATTGTTTATTGTAATATTGTCAAATAAATGCAGCCTTGGTGAGCAGAAGAGACAATTTTTTAATTTTCCTTTGAATTATTGGGTTTATGAATAGTTGTCATCATAGCTATATAACCCTGGTCCGACAAAGCATTCATCAAGCTCTATGTTTCAGGAGCTCACGCTGAAGGAAAAGGAGGAAGAGCAGAAGAAAAAACTGCAGATGAAGAAAGTCGCCTGTGATTGCAGAATTCAAGAGTGGCTGCGAATGAAACGAGAGCAGGTACCGAATCCGAACGCTCTCTAATCATGGACACTTTAGTGCTAGCATTCATTTTGTGTCATCACAGCTCTCCTCCTCATGCTTTCACTGTTTATGTCCTCAGGAAAAGAAAGAGAGAGAGTGCAAAGAGTTTCAGAAAAGCAAAGAACAGCTTCAAGAGGAGAAACGACGTGCCGAGATTGAAGAGAAAGCCCGGGAGAAATATAAGGAGTGGATGCGGAAGAAGACGCAAGAAGAAACAGCGAGAAAGCTAAAAGAGAAGGTGTGATTTAAAGAAAACGTTATTCTTATTAAACTTCATGAGGAAGTGTAAATGATGACAGAATCTCTCTAAAAGCAAGAGGCGGCCAGAAGAGAAGCGGAAGAGCGCGAGCGCAAAGAAAAGGCGGAGGAAAGCTTTAAAGAATGGCTTGACGGTGTAAAAACCAAAGGAAAACTGAGCCGGCGATCATCAGCGTCCTCGGCCGGTGAGTGAATGCCACAGTCCCGCACATTTCAGAGGTTTGGACATGAGATGCAGATATGCAAATCTCTACATAAATATTAAATATATTCAAAGTCAAGCTTTAAAGTATTAAAGGATTAGGTGACTTTAAAAAAAACTTTTGCTGATAATTTACTCGCCCTCGTGTCATCCAAGATGTCTTTCTTTCTTCAGTCGAAAAGAAATGAAGGTTTTTGATGAAAACATTCCAGGATTTTCTCCATATAATGGACTTCAATGGGGTCCAAACGGTTCAAGGTCCAAATGAGAGTTTCAGTGCAGCTTCAAAGGGCTTTAAACGACACCAGACGATGAATAAGGGTCTTATCAAGCGAAACGATCGGTTATTTAAAAAATAAATTATAAAGTTTAAGTTTTATAAGCACAAATGCTCGCATTGCTCTGTTCTGTGATGCGCGTTCGTGACTCCTGTTCGAACTCGTTCATCAAAATGAACAAATCTTTTTCCGAGTCATTTGGTTCATTCAGTGAACGAATTGACTCGGAAAAAGATCCGTTCATTTTCTCAGCAAAATGTTTTTTTTAAAAGTGAACTACTCCTTTAATGTTATCACTTTCAGGCAACTATAACAATGTGAACTACCCATCTCCGAGCTTCGTCAACCCCATTCCCTGGAAACCCATCCACGTTCCACAGGAAGACAGAACGCCCAGGAAAAGTTCAGCGCGTAAGAGAACGGCTGTAAGCCAGTCGAGCCGCCGTCTCACACACACACCTACTGACATCATCGGTTTGGCTCGCAGGAGACGGTGACGCTGACCCCTGCTGGTCTCAGTCCGGTATTAACTCTTCTGAGCACTGCACTGCTGCGCTGTTGTTTAGCAAGTGTTTTCCATCTTTAAAAGACTCATGTGTTGGATTTGACTTTGGTTGAATTATGAATGTAAGCTAAATGTGATTTTTTTTTTTTTTTTCCAAATTAAAGATCTTTGTAAGTACAGTAATTTTCCCAGTATTATTTGGGTTAGCTAAATGGTTCTGTACAAATGTTTCAGCATATCCATCTGTTTAAAGAGCTCTGTGTCATACAATAATGTTCAGAAGGTTTGGGGTGAGTACCAAGGCTGTATTAATTTGATCAAAAATACAGTCAAATTAACAGTTAAAATAACTGTTTTTTATGTGATTATAGTAAACTGTATTCCTGTGATAACTCCAGTCTTCAGTGTCACATGATCATTTTACGCTGATTTGATGCTCAATAAACGTCTCTAATTGTTAATGTTAAAAATAGTTTTTCTTTGATGAATAGAAAGTTCAAAACAGCATTTATTTCAAATGGAAATAGTTTGTAACAATAGAAATTCCTTTATTCAATTGATATGTTCAAAATTCCTTACACTTGTATACATAGCACATTTTTATTATACTTGGACTACGTAGAATATATATGTGCTTAAATGAAGTAGATCTACTTTAAAAATTAATCTATTAATTTAATAAAAATCCAAATATGTAAAAAAAATGAAAAGAAATCAATTGATTCCTTAATTTCTTAAATATTAAAAATTTAAGGAAATTAACTGTTTTTAATTTATTTTTTACAAAAACCATTAACTATTTAAAATGGAGGTTTTACTAAAATTTACTGTATATAAACCTTAAAAACGCAGAACGCCTTCATTTGTATGGGGGAAAAAATGCAGCTTTTCCTTTAATAAATGTACAAAATACAATGTAAAAGTCTATACATTTGTGCATGATTTTCGAGACAATCTGTGTTGATTAATTAAAAATTATTGTAAGTGACAATTCCTTATACTTAACACATTTTTATTATACTTATTAAATGACTATAGAATATGTGTGCTTAAATGGAGTAGATCTACTTAAAAAAATGTATCTATTAATTTAATAAAAATCCAAATATGTAAAAAAAAAAAGAAAATCAATTGATTCTTTAATTCCTTATGATTTTTTTTCTTAAATATTTAAAATATGAGGACATTCTCTTTTTTTTTTTTTTTTTTTTTTTACAAAAACCATTAACTATTTAAAATGGAGGTTTTACTAAACCGTCTGTTTTCAGTGTATATAAATATACTAAAACCCTAAAAACGCAGAACGCCTTCATTTGTATGGGGAAAAAAATGCAACTTTTCCTTTAATAAATGTACAAAATACGATGTAAAAGTCTATACATTAGTGCATGATGTTCGACACAATCAGTGTTTGTGTGTGTGATTCCACAAAAGACTTCTTCTGCGTTGAACAGGACTCGTCATTAACTGGCTTATCTGCATTTCCCGAGTCAGCTTGTGACCAGACACAATGACCTCTGACCCCTGGCCCGGGCCGAGAGCCAAACTCAGCCCTCGCACAGATGTGTGTATTGTCCAGCGCAGCGGTGCCTTGGAGTTCTTTCAGCTAATGACGTGCGTGAGTGGGTGTGTGTGTGTGTTCACAATACTGTAGATTTCATCCCTTCACATTGATTCTCGTAAACACACGTTACTGGACCAGAGATACTGTAAGTGCACCTAAATATTCTTTCTGTTATGAAACACGTTGACTGGTCTAATGTAAGACTGATTCATGCTTGTACTTAAGACTGTGTTTATGCAACTGACCCACATGTTGTTTGTTATGGATATGGCAGGCGATTCTCAAAACCATCACTAGCTGTGATCGAGTGCATTAGAGCAAGTGAGTTGTGTGTTTATTTCCTGTTCTGCTGAGCAAAGGTCACCTTTCAAGACGGCAGTGCTGCTTTGCATTTGTTTTGTTGCACTTTTTAAGATGCATACGTGTTCAAGTCAGTTTTTTACATGGGAATCAGGTTAAGAAATGTGACATGTGTACAGCTTGAATTCTGCATGTTTCTCTCCCAATAGATTGCGATATTTGCAAGCAAACAGCGGTCCCCAGAGATGCATTGGTGCAGGTGGACGGGCGGCTGGACGTCTCACGTTCACACACAGGTACACAGGGGTGTGTCTGTTTGCATTTGAGTCAGTGTTTCAAACAAGGCAAAGGACGTGGCAGAGAACAGAGTTAATGTTGTGTGACTTCGAGGTCAAAGCTGAGGCGTTCGTTAACCTTGTTTTGTCAGCATGGGGATTTCTTAACACGTTATTTTCTGTGCTAGCTTAAAGAAAAATAGATCTATGACAGACGTAGGTTAAAATTGCACCGAGCCTGTGACATTAGCACCCTGAATGAGTCGTTTCAGGGTCAGTGGGTCACAATCCGCAAGTATTGATTGCAGTAATGCAGTCCACAGGCCAAGAAGATGAAGATCGCTGTGACTTTCTGTTCAAGATCATCCTGATCGGCGACAGCAACGTGGGGAAGACCTGCGTGATCCACAGCTTCAAGTCTGGGGTGTTCAGTGACAACCAGCACAACACTATTGGAGTGGACTTCACCGTTCGCAGCATGGACATCGATGGGAAGAAAGTAAAGGTCTGTGCACTGATTCATGACTTAGTTTTTCCTTGCATTCAAGAAAGAAATCTTCTTATTAAGGCTGTGGTATTGTAAGCGTATTGCATTCACTTGAAGAAAAAAAATCAGTTTTTCTGAATTAACAAGTTAATTATCTCAGAATTACGAGATAATTATTCATGGAAAAAGTTTTTGTTCTGTTTTTATGAATTAACGACTTAATTATCTCCGAATTACGAGATAATTTTTCATGGAAAAAGTTTTTGTTCTGTTTTTATGAATTAACGACTTAATTATCTCCGAATTACGAGATAATTTTTCATAGAAAAAAGTTTTTGTTTTGTTTTTATGAATTAACGAGTTAATTATCTCAGAATTACGAGAGAATTTTTCATGGAAAATGTTTTTGTTCTGTTTTTCTGAATTAACGAGTTAATTATCTCAGAATTACGAGAGAATTTTTCATGGAAAAAAGTTTTTGTTCTGTTTTTATGAATTAACGAGTTAATTATCTCAGAATTACGAGATAATTATTCATGGAAAAAGTTTTTGTTCTGTTTTTATGAATTAACGAGTTAATTATCTCAGAATTACGAGAGAATTTTTCATGGAAAATGTTTTTGTTCTGTTTTTCTGAATTAACGAGTTAATTATCTCAGAATTACGAGAGAATTTTTCATGGAAAATGTTTTTGTTCTGTTTTTCTGAATTAACGAGTTAATTATCTCAGAATTACGAGAGAATTTTTCATGGAAAAAGTTTTTGTTCTGTTTTTTATGAATTAACGAGTTAATTATCTCAGAATTACGAGAGAATTTTTCATGGAAAATGTTTTTGTTCTGTTTTTTATGAATTAACGAGTTAATTATCTCAGAATTACGAGAGAATTTTTCATGGAAAAAAGTTTTTGTTCTGTTTTTCTGAATTAACGAGTTAATTATCTCAGAATTACGAGATAATTATTCATGGAAAAAGTTTTTGTTCTGTTTTTATGAATTAACGAGTTAATTATCTCAGAATTACGAGAGAATTTTTCATGGAAAATGTTTTTGTTCTGTTTTTCTGAATTAACGAGTTAATTATCTCAGAATTACGAGAGAATTTTTCATGGAAAATGTTTTTGTTCTGTTTTTCTGAATTAACGAGTTAATTATCTCAGAATTACGAGAGAATTTTTCATGGAAAAAGTTTTTGTTCTGTTTTTTATGAATTAACGAGTTAATTATCTCAGAATTACGAGAGAATTTTTCATGGAAAATGTTTTTGTTCTGTTTTTTATGAATTAACGAGTTAATTATCTCAGAATTACGAGAGAATTTTTCATGGAAAAAAGTTTTTGTTCTGTTTTTCTGAATTAACGAGTTAATTATCTCAGAATTACGAGATAATTATTCATGGAAAAATTTTTGTTCTGTTTTTATGAATTAACGAGTTAATTATCTCAGAATTACGAGAGAATTTTTCATGGAAAATGTTTTTGTTCTGTTTTTATGAATTAACGAGTTAATTATCTCAGAATTACGAGAGAATTTTTCATGGAAAATGTTTTTGTTCTGTTTTTCTGAATTAACGAGTTAATTATCTCAGAATTACGAGAGAATTTTTCATGGAAAAAAGTTTTTGTTCTGTTTTTCTGAATTAACGAGTTAATTATCTCAGAATTACGAGAGAATTTTTCATGGAAAAAGTTTTTGTTCTGTTTTTATGAATTAACGAGTTAATTATCTCAGAATTACGAGAGAATTTTTCATGGAAAAAAGTTTTTGTTCTGTTTTTATGAATTAACGAGTTAATTATCTCAGAATTACGAGAGAATTTTTCACGGAAAAACGTTTTTGTTCTGTTTTTCTGAATTAACGAGTTAATTATCTCAGAATTACGAGAGAATTTTTCATGGAAAAAAGTTTTTTTTTATTTTCAAGCGGTTCACACATTGGGAATAAAAAGTACTTATATCCTGGGGCGGTTTTCGGATTTGATCTTGAGAGGCTTAGCCCTCAGTGAGAATGTGTAGCTAGAGACCATTGGCCAAGTGACGGAAATTGGCACCACTACTAGTAAAAAAAATACCATACCATATTGAACCAAAAATGATTGTGAACCATTTCCATTGAACCATTTTTTTATGATTGTGCATGTCTTGGAGAGGCACTGATAAGCTATTTGTGATTGTGTCGTGTCTGGAGTTCAGATGCAGGTCTGGGACACGGCGGGACAGGAGCGTTTCCGCACCATCACACAGAGTTACTACCGAAGCGCCCACGGTGCCATGATCGCGTACGACCTGACCCGGCGACCCACCTTTGAGTCTCTACCGCACTGGATACAAGGAGTGGAGCAGTACGGAGCCGCCAACGTCGTCTTCGTTCTGATAGGTCAGAACACAAATTCCCAAACTTTTTTTTACCACCAAACCCTCATATTTACTTGAGGTTTTAGAATGAATAATTTGACAACACGTTTGCATGGTCACGGTTATCTGATGTTGGCATGAAACTTATCCCTCATCCTTTCCTCGGGTCATTTTGACCCGGAATTTATTTTTAGAAGAAGAAGAGTGTTCATCGAGTGTTCACCCCATGACTTCTGTCTCGCTTGGACCACAAATACACTTTTTTTTTTAATGGACTCGAGGAGTTTTGTTGTTGAAATTTTAAAAAACTAACAAATCCTTGCCTAGCGGGTCAAATTGACCCCCATAGGAAAGAATGGAATGCTTTATTACACATAGAAAAACCTAAAAGGCTCAAAATTCGAACTAAAAGTGCTAAAACTTTACGAAAAAAAATATTTTATATAATCTGATTGCACACTGAAGGAACACTGACTTTAGGACCCAGCAGAACAGCTAATTTGCTATATCGTGTGTTATATCATAGGTATTCAACCCTGCTCCTGGAGGCCCACTGTCCTGCAGAGTTTTACTCCAACCCTAATCAAACACAACTGAACCAGCAATCAAGCTGTTCAGGGTCACTTGAAATCACAGACTGAAGCAGGTTTTATATCAACTCTGCAGGGCAGTGGGCCTCCAGGAGCAGGGTTGAGATATTATTTGTTTGTCCACAAGAGGTCGACAAAGACACCCAATTTAAGATATTTAGAGCTGAATTAAAAGGTTTAGGCATGAAATTGTGAGTAATTTTGATTTTGAGTTGAAAGAATGTGCCTCTAAAATAGTATTTATTTATTATTTAATGATTAAATGTGGTAAATAAAATAACAAAGAAGAAAAATATAAAAAAAATATATCATTAAAAATAGAAAAAAATATTATCAAAATGAAATAAAATAAGCTTTCTAAAAAGTATAATTTTAGGGCTTCGGGTCATTTTGACCAGCGAGTGAAGGATTTAAGTTTCAAAAGTCTTTTCTTTGCTATTGGGACATCCGCTTCTCGCACAACAAATGGAGGGCGGGGCTTGATTTTGTCCACTGGGAACTGATTGGATGGTTGTGGTTTGCAATCTCATGTGAGTGACAGGTTGCCCCGCCCACACGCCAGTGAAGGGAGGGGAAGTTATCCTGATTAAAGATTACGAGGCACATGAATTAAAGACAATTTCACCTCGAAACATTGCAAATAAACTAGGTATTCATGAAGTGTTTTCCGTCCTGCAGGAAATAAGTGTGACCTGGAGGCGCAGCGGCAGGTGCTGTTTGAGGACGCGTGCACGCTGGCGGAGCGGACCGGGGCGCTGGCCGCGCTCGAGACCTCCGCAAAACACTATCGAAATATCGAGGAAGCCTTCGAACTGATGGCCCGCGAACTCATAGTCCGACACGGAGGAACAGTCCATCAGGACAACCAATCAGATTTACCCACAGTTTTCTTGCACTTGGATTCTCATTCAATAGATGGAGAACATAAGAAGAGGTCATGTGACTGCTGACTTTATACGTTAGGTGGACTAAGATGATAAAACACAGTGGGATGTGACAAAAAAATGAATCAGACATCTCAGAAAAGTTGCATTCAATGAACGAACTCTGTAAACTTATACAATTATGATGTTTTTCTTGTTCTGTTTTTCTGCACTTTTATTTTTGCAGCAGGTTGTGTACAGTACAATAAAATGCAAAAACAGTGAGTCAGTAAATGCATTCTTTGTTATTTCTAAAACAATATATTTAAAGGACTTACTTGAGGGATTTGTGTGTTAAATTATTTAAAACCAACAATAAACAATGACTGCTCAGTTCTCATTGGAGAAACTTATTTTTTCGCGCCAAAAAAAAAAAACAGTTTTTTTTAATGTAAAAAAATAAGTTTCTCCAATCTTCTTGAAACTCTGGATTCTGATAGAGGGCCCTGAGACTTAAACCTGAGTGCAAAAATGGAGGCTCTAGACCCTTCCAGAGCTGAGATATCGAAATTCAAAATTTCGACCCGAAAAAAAAAACGACAGTGTTACCCCTTTCGTTTTTTTCAGTTTTTGGGCGAAAAATTAAGTTTCTCCAATCTTCTCAAAACTCTGGATTCTGATAGAGGGCTGTGAGTCTTTGACGTGAGTGCAAAAATGGAGGCTCTAGACCCTTCCAGAGCTGAGATATCGAAATTCAAAATTTCGACCCGAAAAAAAAACGACAGTGTTACCCCTTTCGTTTTTTTCCATTTTTGGGCGAAAAATTAAGTTTCTCCAATCTTCTCAAAACTCTGGATTCTGATAGAGGGCTGTGAGACTTTGACGTGAGTGCAAAAATGGAGGCTGTAGACCCTTCCAGAGCTGAGATATCGAAATTCAAAATTTCGACCCGAAAAAAAAACGACAGTGTTACCCCTTTTGTTTTTTTTCCGTTTTTGGGCGAAAAATTAAGTTTCTCCAATCTTCTCAAAACTCTGGATTCTGATAGAGGGCTGTGAGACTTTGACCTGAGTGCAAAAATGGAGGCTCTAGACCCTTCCAGAGCTGAGATATCGAAATTCAAAATTTCGACCCGAAAAAAAACGACAGTGTTACCCCTTTCGTTTTTTTCAGTTTTTGGGCGAAAAATTACGTTTCTCCAATCTTCTCAAAACTCTGGATTCTGATAGAGGGCTGTGAGACTTTGACGTGAGTGCAAAAATGGAGGCTGTAGACCCTTCCAGAGCTGAGATATCGAAATTCAAAATTTCGACCCGAAAAAAAAAACGACAGTGTTACCCCTTTTGTTTTTTTCCGTTTTTGGGCGAAAAATTAAGTTTCTCCAATCTTCTCAAAACACTGGATTCTGATAGAGGGCTGTGAGACTTTGACCTGAGTGCAAAAATGGAGACTCTAGACCCTTCCAGAGCTGAGATATCGAAATTCAAAATTTCGACCCGAAAAAAAAAACGACAGTGTTACCCCTTTCGTTTTTTTCAGTTTTTGGGCGAAAAATTAAGTTTCTCCAATCTTCTCAAAACTCTGGATTCTGATAGAGGGCTGTGAGACTTTGACGTGAGTGCAAAAATGGAGGCTCTAGACCCTTCCAGAGCTGAGATATCGAAATTCAAAATTTCGACCCGAAAAAAAAACGACAGTGTTACCCCTTTTGTTTTTTTCCGTTTTTGGGCGAAAAATTAAGTTTCTCCAATCTTCTCAAAACTCTGGATTCTGATAGAGGGCTGTGAGACTTTGACGTGAGTGCAAAAATGGAGGCTCTAGACCCTTCCAGAGCTGAGATATCGAAATTCAAAATTTCGACCCGAAAAAAACGACAGTGTTACCCCTTTTGTTTTTTTCCATTTTTGGGCGAAAAATTAAGTTTCTCCAATCTTCTCAAAACTCTGGATTCTGATAGAGGGCTGTGAGACTTTGACCTGAGTGCAAAAATGGAGGCTCTAGACCCTTCCAGAGCTGAGATATCGAAATTCAAAATTTCGACCCGAAAAAAAAAACGACAGTGTTACCCCTTTCGTTTTTTTCAGTTTTTGGGCGAAAAATTAAGTTTCTCCAATCTTCTCAAAACTCTGGATTCTGATAGAGGGCTGTGAGACTTTGACCTGAGTGCAAAAATGGAGGCTCTAGACCCTTCCAGAGCTGAGATATCGAAATTCAAAATTTCGACCCGAAAAAAAAAACGACAGTGTTACCCCTTTCGTTTTTTTCCGTTTTTGGGCGAAAAATTAAGTTTCTCCAATCTTCTCAAAACTCTGGATTCTGATAGAGGGCTGTGAGACTTTGACCTGAGTGCAAAAATGGAGGCTCTAGACCCTTCCAGAGCTGAGATATCGAAATTCAAAATTTCGACCCGAAAAAAAAAACGACAGTGTTACCCCTTTCGTTTTTTTTCGTTTTGGGGCGAAAAATTAAGTTTCTCCAATCTTCTCAAAACTCTGGATTCTGATAGAGGGCTGTGAGACTTTGACCTGAGTGCAAAAATGGAGGCTCTAGACCCTTCCAGAGCTGAGATATCGAAATTCAAAATTTCGACCCGAAAAAAAAACGACAGTGTTACCCCTTTTGTTTTTTCCGTTTTTGGGCGAAAAATTAAGTTTCTCCAATCTTCTCAAAACTCTGGATTCTGATAGAGGGCTGTGAGACTTTGACCTGAGTGCAAAAATGGAGGCTCTAGACCCTTCCAGAGCTGAGATATCGAAATTCAAAATTTCGACCCGAAAAAAAAAACGACAGTGTTACCCCTTTTGTTTTTTTCCGTTTTCGGGCGAAAAATTAAGTTTCTCCAATCTTCTCAAAACTCTGGATTCTGATAGAGGGCTGTGAGACTTTGACCTGAGTGCAAAAATGGAGGCTCTAGACCCTTCCAGAGCTGAGATATCGAAATTCAAAATTTCGACCCGAAAAAAAAAACGACAGTGTTACCCCTTTCGTTTTTTTCAGTTTTTGGGCGAAAAATTAAGTTTCTCCAATCTTCTCAAAACTCTGGATTCTGATAGAGGGCTGTGAGACTTTGACGTGAGTGCAAAAATGGAGGCTCTAGACCCTTCCAGAGCTGAGATATCGAAATTCAAAATTTCGACCCGAAAAAAAAACGACAGTGTTACCCCTTTCGTTTTTTTTCAGTTTTTGGGCGAAAAATTAAGTTTCTCCAATCTTCTCAAAACTCTGGATTCTGATAGAGGGCTGTGAGACTTTGACCTGAGTGCAAAAATGGAGGCTCTAGACCCTTCCAGAGCTGAGATATCGAAATTCAAAATTTCGACCCGAAAAAAAAAAACGACAGTGTTACCCCTTTCGTTTTTTTCCATTTTTGGGCGAAAAATTAAGTTTCTCCAATCTTCTCAAAACTCTGGATTCTGATAGAGGGCTGTGAGACTTTGACCTGAGTGCAAAAATGGAGGCTCTAGACCCTTCCAGAGCTGAGATATCGAAATTCAAAATTTCGACCCGAAAAAAAAAACGACAGTGTTACCCCTTTCGTTTTTTTCGTTTTTGGGCGAAAAATTAAGTTTCTCCAATCTTCTCAAAACTCTGGATTCTGATAGAGGGCTGTGAGACTTTGACCTGAGTGCAAAAATGGAGGCTCTAGACCCTTCCAGAGCTGAGATATCGAAATTCAAAATTTCGACCCGAAAAAAAACGACAGTGTTACCCCTTTCGTTTTTTTCAGTTTTTGGGCGAAAAATTAAGTTTCTCCAATCTTCTCAAAACTCTGGATTCTGATAGAGGGCTGTGAGACTTTGACCTGAGTGCAAAAATGGAGGCTCTAGACCCTTCCAGAGCTGAGATATCGAAATTCAAAATTTCGACCCGAAAAAAAAAACGACAGTGTTACCCCTTTTGTTTTTTCCGTTTTTGGGCGAAAAATTAAGTTTCTCCAATCTTCTCAAAACTCTGGATTCTGATAGAGGGCTGTGAGACTTTGACCTGAGTGCAAAAATGGAGGCTCTAGACCCTTCCAGAGCTGAGATATCGAAATTCAAAATTTCGACCCGAAAAAAAAACGACAGTGTTACCCCTTTCGTTTTTTTCAGTTTTTGGGCGAAAAATTAAGTTTCTCCAATCTTCTCAAAACTCTGGATTCTGATAGAGGGCTGTGAGACTTTGACCTGAGTGCAAAAATGGAGGCTCTAGACCCTTCCAGAGCTGAGATATCGAATTCAAAATTTCGACCCGAAAAAAAACGACAGTGTTACCCTTTCGTTTTTTTTTTCCATTTTTGGGCGAAAAATTAAGTTTCTCCAATCTTCTCAAAACTCTGGATTCTGATAGAGGGCTGTGAGACTTTGACGTGAGTGCAAAAATGGAGGCTCTAGACCCTTCCAGAGCTGAGATATCGAAATTCAAAATTTCGACCCGAAAAAAAAGACAGTGTTACCCCTTTCGTTTTTTCCGTTTTTGGGCGAAAAATTAAGTTTCTCCAATCTTCTCAAAACTCTGGATTCTGATAGAGGGCTGTGAGACTTTGACCTGAGTGCAAAAATGGAGGCTCTAGACCCTTCCAGAGCTGAGATATCGAAATTCAAATTTCGACCCGAAAAAAAAACGACAGTGTTACCCTTTCGTTTTTTTCCGTTTTGGGCGAAAAATTAAGTTTCTCCAATCTTCTCAAAACTCTGGATTCTGATAGAGGGCTGTGAGACTTTGACCTGAGTGCAAAAATGGAGGCTCTAGACCCTTCCAGAGCTGAGATATCGAAATTCAAAATTTCGACCCGAAAAAAAACGACAGTGTTACCCTTTCGTTTTTTTCCGTTTTGGGCGAAAAATTAAGTTTCTCCAATCTTCTCAAAACTCTGGATTCTGATAGAGGGCTGTGAGACTTTGACCTGAGTGCAAAAATGGAGGCTCTAGACCCTTCCAGAGCTGAGATATCGAAATTCAAAATTTCGACCCGAAAAAAAACGACAGTGTTACCCCTTTCGTTTTTTCATTTTGGGCGAAAAATTAAGTTTCTCCAATCTTCTCAAAACTCTGGATTCTGATAGAGGGCTGTGAGACTTTGACCTGAGTGCAAAAATGGAGGCTCTAGACCCTTCCAGAGCTGAGATATCGAAATTCAAAATTTCGACCCGAAAAAAAACGACAGTGTTACC